TTCTCTGTTATTCTGTCACGCAATGCTAACTATAAATCAAAGGCGGCTAGCGTTCGAATTCTGCCTGCTGTTCCAGAATAATAATATGTGTTGTAAGTTTACCCGAGGAAACCCTCGAGAATATCAACACCAAATTGGCTCGCATAGCGAAACAGAACAGACAAGACGGGCCGTATAATAATACGGGTAGTATAATAATGGGAAGAAACGCGTGAAGTGTAATGTATTATATTACTAAGCGTTGTTGCTGTTTAATGTGTGTTTAAGTTGTAATTTCTACGGTTTTCTGTTTAGTGGGTATTCGTTTTCGTAGTACGAAAACGAAGACCGGGTCTTAGGTCTTCGTTTTCGTAACACCCCATTTGTAGATGTGAGCGTGGTTCGAACTAAAGTCAAACGATAGAAAAGAAAAAAGGGAAACGGCTTATGTAAGCTAATACTAAAACGTAACACCAGAATACTGATAAGGAACACGATCATATAAATAAAACAAAACGATTGGAACTGGAGACATTTGATTCGCTTAATATATTTGTTATAAGTTGAAAAGAAAGAGCTAAAGGAAACGTAATTAAAATCAAATCAATGCAGTTATCCTGTTTTAGTTGATGGAATATATGAATTCCATATGTTCTTCTTGACAGTTCTTATGTAATGTTATCTTTAGCTGCCACGCTTGAAGCGTCACGCAACGCATCTACTCTGTATGTGCATGTCATGTCTCTTCGATTAAATCTCGTTTTAGCTTTAAAGTAGTCCCGTTTAAGGTTCCATAAGGTTCTGCTGTTGAAATATTCCGTAATAAATTACAGATGTGCCAAATTCAGAATTCAAGATTTCCCTAAGGATCTTCGTTTTCGTAATGTGTCTCATGAACATAAGGAATTTGTTAATGGTCTTCGTTTTGGTAACTACCCCCAATTCCCTGAAATTCTGAGGTTCAGTGCTAAAAAATTTTGGAGGGGCTAAAGGAAATTATAATTGCTTTTATTTTCTCTCTCTGTCAGTATGTACACCATGATTGGTCAATTTAGTGAGCTATATTTCACTTACTTGCTATTACATATTGTTCTGGTACTTTAAGTTATCACCTTGGATTTATGGACCATGTGCATTGTGCTTGGGCAATAATTCCAAGTGGAAAAAGCTTGGTCTGTAACTTAGAGTATGGACCTAGAACTCAGTTAGTAAGAGGTATATATTTATTGTAGCTTTGATCTTCTTAATTATTTTACATTTGGAAAAGGAAGAATGTAATGGAATAGGCTTACAACAGCAACCTTCATCCTACATCATTTCTTTAAAAAGTAAGTCAAGTGTAATCATACATTGAAGATTAAAAAAAAAAAAGATAAGACTACTAGCAGTTTTCCAAAATTTTTTTCATTTATGTCTTTCGTGAACTTATTTTAACATTTACACCAGAACATGACAATGTAGATGCAATGGCAACATCTGGGGGAATCTTTGTATCTGCTGCTACCTCCAAGCGATATTTCTTCAACATTCTTGCCAGCACCATCTTCATTTCCATTTGGGCAAACCTCATTCCAATACAGTTGTGAGGTCCGTGACCAAAAGGCATGTAGGAGTAAGGATTAAGCGATTGTTTGGCTGCAGGTGAGAAGCGCTCTGGATTGAATTCATCAGGGTCTGGATAAATGGATGGGTCACGATGAATGCTGTACACTGGTATTATAACTATTAACCCTTCAGGTATCTTGACTCCTTTCAGGACACACGCTTCTGTACAGACACGGACTATGAAAAATCCTAACGAAAAAGAAAAAACCTTTAGCTAGAGTAACAAGGCTTTCATAGACTGGAAGGATTCTGTGCTATAAGGGAACTCCCTTGTCTCTTACCACCCCTTAAAATAATGCATACAGTTTAATACCTTCCAAGGCAAGCAAGGGTGTGGCAAAGGAGGTCCTCATGTGCAAGGCTCAGTGAGCACTGCATTGTTAGGACCAAGTGACAATTAATAATAATAAAACTAATAATAATAATAATAAAACTAATAAGAATAACAGCAGTAATGATGATGACAATAATAAAACCTATAAGGCCCCTGGGTGGCCAGAGAATGCTAGAGTAGGAATTCTCCCTACTGGAGATTTGGTCTAGAAACCCCAAGCAAAACATGAAAAAAACTAATCTAAAAAGAAAAGAGAATAGCTGTTCTTAAGTCTTCTGACCCTCAGCCCAAGAGCTCATCCTTTTTTAGTTTGAAGCATTAAGTGACAAAAGTGTTGCTATTCCCTGTGAATGTAATGGTCATCCATCATAGCGTAACCCTACCATACCATCACCGTCTGCTAGTACCCATTTATACTCCTTAGCAGAAAAAAACACTGTGACAGTTGAGTATCTTGACCAAGAACACAACACAGTGACTTCGCCAAGGTTCAAACCCTGACCTCTCCATTCCCAGCCCGGTAGGCTGTCAACCACGCCCCTACCCCTTGCACATAAGGGTACATTTATTCACCTGGAGGGTACATTCTCAAAGCTTCAGCTAATACCATGTCTAGGTATGGCATTTCATGGACTGTTTCATAGGACAACATTTGGTTTTCATCTGGCCAAACACTGTCAATCTCTTGTTGCAGTTTATCCTGAACTTCAGGATTTACAGCTAAATGATGGGAAACAAAACTTAGAGTGGTACTAGTAGTTTCATATCCTGCAGCAAGAAAGACAAGGCTTTGTGCTATGACTTCCATGTCAGAGAGCTTCTTTTTTTCTGGTACTGAAGGGTCATCTGAAGCTGCCAGCATCAAATCAAGCATGTCCTATAAAATAAATGTTTTACTAATAAAATTATATGGCTAAAGTTTACATCAATGCTAGGGAAACAATTACAGCAAAAAATAAACTGGAGTAAATGGCTTGACCTTTGGAGTAACCCTGGATTCTTAAGAGTGATTTGGCTGGTTGATCCAAAACAAAATTCTCTCAACTAACATCAAAAGAATTGTATGGCAAACAGCAAGGAGAATTACTAACTAAAGATGAGATCTCACACTTGAACAAACTGAGTACAATAAGTCATCATCAGTATACAAGTTGTTTGTCCCTCGAAGTCTGGCCTGTGAAAACTTAAACAGTTTTGATTTGTTTTGATTGGCCACCTTACATGTTGTGATAAAGTTACAAATGTAATGAGAAAATAGCCAAACAATGAGTGCGAGTATCCTTTAATCACCAAAAGACAGTTACCTTCCTACTACTAGAGCTTTCACTGCTCTCTCTTTTAGTTTGAACTATTTCTTCTGTAATGTTCAGGAGAGGAACATTATTTGACATCCACAAGCTTGGTGTCTTCTCCATGATCTTTGCCCCAAATGGTATTGTGGATAGAAGTGTCAGCAGAATTTTCTGTGAAGTGGACTGGTTCATTGCTTGCTTGGCTGCTTTCAGGACAGGGTCATCAGGATTGTTCTGAGAGTTCACTTGAAAACCAAATGCAGCAGAAACAATAGCATCCATTGTCAAACACTGGTGAATTCTATGGGAAAAAGATAGCGCACAAGTTACCTATCTATATCACCAACGACGACGGCCACGGCAACGAGAACGGCAGAAAACAATAGGCTCAATGAGCAAAAACAATGGCCCTGCACGTGCATTTAACATTTTGGTACATTTCTTTGCCGTTCTTGGCAAAACAACAACGTGAAATAACCAAACTATAAGTTTTCTCAAGAACGTGAGCGCAAGATGGTTGATTTTTCTTTCTTTTGCCTTACTTTAACGCCGTTCATAGTGATATAGTCCCTGAATAGTTCGCCAGCATTTTCCAAGTGAAACACATCGGAATAACCCCGAAAGAGTCACAAAAACGAAAAGTTAGATTTCGACCCAACATTTTCGTTGCTGTCGCCGTCATTGTTGCTAAAGTTCCCTATTAGCATCCATTGTCAAACACTGGTGAATTCTATGGGAAAAAAATAGCGCACAAGTTACCTATCAAGGGTGCATGTCATGCTGTTTACTGAATATCTTAAGCAATGATTTTTGAGATATCATATCTTAATGGTGAGGTGGTTGGCTTTGCTGAAGGATTATTGTCTACTCTGCTGTATGCTTACATCTAGCATGCTTATGTTTATTTTATACAGTATGTTATTCAAGCAGAAAAGTATAATTCACCACTAAAACACCCTTTCAAAGGAAATACAATTATAGTACACTGATAAGTGTCAAACAGATATTAAAAAAAAACATTTTTGGGTTAACATTTCTATACTTAATTCTTAATATCAATACTTTCCCCCTTATCAGCAAATTCACCAAGCTTTTCAATCAAATTGTCACAACAGATGTTCATCAAAGGCACAATCTGTTTCATCTTCAGACCACTGAAAGCTGGTGTCAAAGTATTGCGAATACGTTTCCACTTGTCTTTGGTGGCAAGTGTCAGCATACTGCTCAGAGGTTCAGGCAGCTTAAAAAATACCTTGAAATGACAAAAAAATCCTATTTATTGGTAAAGAGAGATCGATGGTAGTTAATATTGACAGCCAATGAAGCCCAAGCAGGATGCACAATGTAAGTTTTGAGTGGATGGGTTTACCTGTGGTATCCTGAAATCATATCCTAGTGTTCTTAACCCTTTCACTCCCACGAGTGACCAAGACAGAATTTCTCCTTACCATACCAATACAATATCAAGCAGACAAGTGATGAGAATAAAAAAAAATATCAATGAGGGGATTATTAGTTGATCAGATACCAAATTCTCCAAGGTAACTTTATAAGAATTGTATGACAGACAGTAGGGGGAATTACCAAATGAATGACATCTTGGGAGAGAAAAGGGTTAAAGTGGTTTAGGCATAAGCATCTGTCTATTTTAAAACCAAACTCTCAGAATTTTCAACAATTTCAATAGCTTTTCGAAGCATATTCTTCAGAAAAAGTTTCATTCCCCAAAGTGCTGACTGTGCAATTATGCACTTGACATCTGGATAAAATGTAAGGGTGAACGTGTTCCACAAAAACAGTTCTACTAAGACACAAAGCTGGCAGAAAAAACTGCACAATTACAATGAACAATTGGTGGGATTTACGTAATTGATAACAGGAGGTTGATAAGGTTAATGCATCAAAGTGAAGCTTACCGGACGATCAGCGAAAGAGCTAAACTCTTTGACGAAAATGTCCCTCAGCATTTCTGGGTCCGAAATTATTATGCATGGTTTGCTGCCAATGGTAAGCATAGAGAAAACTTGGCCGTATTTTTTGCAATATTCGTCCATTTGCAGATGCATCAGTCCCTTGTGTCTTACGGTATCCCACAAATGACTGATAAAGGGCAACGGAATGGGTCCCTTGGGGTAAATAGCCCTCATCGTCCGATATGGCACAATCCAGTAAAAATAGACCAAAAATATGGCTGAAGCGATTAAAATCGTCCGCCAGTGCGAAAAGAGTGGCTCTAAAAGGTCTACTAATGCCATATCAACTGCAGTACAACTCAACCTGACGGGCACTCGCTTCAAATCGACTTACACTTTACACAGTCAGCATTTCTTCTTCCCCTTCCCAGACTCTTGCTGATTGTCAGTTTAGGAGGGGCCCAAGCGTCGGCCCAAGCTCTCTCCATAAAGTTTAGGCTCCGTTCTGTAACTCCGTAAGTAGTAAAGCAAGTAAACTCTTACCGCCATATAATGTTGTTTCTATTAATTTGTACTCTGTTATCGACTGCAGACCATTTCTTCGAGTTTTGACAGTTTCTAGCCGAGCTTTCACCCATTAATTTCTTTGATATCCCAAGTACAGAGGAAGGCCTCGTTAGACCAACGAACGTATCGATAAACTCCCGAAATCTGCACGAATCCCAAACTAAACCACGTTTCCTTGCTTCGAGGCTGCATCACTAAAGCCAGATAATTATTCTTCTTCCTAACTCCCATGTAAAGCCTCTCATCGCGGGAGCTTGAGCCCTCTATGCTCCAACAAGACACTTTATGTATATATTCACTTTAACTTATTTTCAGTCACATGTACAGGTACTGTTTTTCGGACCTTAGTGGTAATTAATTTAGTCAACAAAAAATTGTCATGTTTCTCTTTTTCTACATTTTCTTTGCAATCCTCATACAAGTGGTTAAGGAAGTCACAACCCAATTATTTTAAAAGTGGAAAAAAGAAGGGATGAGTCTCAAAAGAAAAACAAATTTTTTTAAATTTCCAATATTTAATAAATAACAAAATTTTACATTTCAAATATTACATACTGATGCAATGAAGTGCCCACTGAAGGTCTTCCAGCAATATCGATTAAAAACGAAAATAAAAATTTAATTCAAAGTAAAGTATTAAATATATCTGAGTCTTTGGAACAAGATTATTTGTTCTTAAATAAGGTAAATTGGGATATATAACCACAGTGCGTTTAAAAATAGCATTTTGTTCTAAAATTGCACTAATTAAGAGGAGTTCCATTCTCTCTTTAAATAAATAAAAAATAATAATGACCCTCAAAGGCCAGCCCAAAAACATCTGGTATTAAGTAATCTTCCATCATATAATATACACATCAAAAAGGTGTTTTCATGTTTTTACAAAGTGGTTTATCAATATCGTTGCCAAAATCAAAGCAGTAAATAGTTTTCAAAGGCCACTCTTAAAATTATGTGTCACAAGCAAACACAGCCTATTAAAGTGCATCATCTGTGGGACTTTAAGAACCCAAAACTCCATATATTTTTTTTGTCAATTAAATGGAAGAGACCAGCTTTGAAAGTAATCAATATTTGTGAGGGTTTTGAGGAAAATCCTCTTCCTTCCATCCTTGAAAATGTTGAATAAACAATCCTCTATTCATAATTAGTTGCTACGTTCAAAGAACATGAAGTCCTGTAAGTGTCAAAAACAGAAAAAGCTATCAGGTAATTGTATCAAGTGACTGTAAAGCCAAGCATCTATAAAAACTCCTTTAACCTTTTTCAAAACCAGAATTATTCTTTAACTTGTCTGAAGAATTGAATATATAGTAGAAATTGATTATTCATCCCTTAACCTGGATGTGGTTTCCTTCACTTTATTCCCCAAGCTTTGGAGCCAAGTTTGAATTTTAATATTTTGAAAATGGCCTATTAATCCTTAATTGACTTATTGTTCAGTCAGCGAGTGTGTGTGTGTGAACTTACAACAAGGAAGGCAGCTCCCAATAAAATGGCTTTGAACTTTACATCCAAATCTAAAGGGACTAAAATTAGAATAAAACAATCGGATCAAATAGCCTTCAGATAAATTCTTTTATCCTACACTGACTGCTGCTGTTGGAATACATGCCTCATTAGCTATAGTCCATAACACATACATAAAAATCATTACATTGGATGCCAAAGTTTGCTGCATCAGTGAATGTCTCTCGGGTACATCCAGTCCATTGTTTGGTTATCATAATTTCACTGCTTCCATCAGCTGAAGAAACCTGCAGGTTGAGAAAGAAGCAGAGATTGTCAACAGGTAATTCAATCCACCATACAATTTCAATACATTTTACAACAATGGTTGTTGAATATTGACAACTGCATCAGTTCACTCATATTTCATCTTGACACAAATTATCTTAATCACTTTACAATGGGTTGCATGCTGCACTGGGGGAGAATTACTGTTCAGATCATAGGTTTGAAAGAGTTAAGATATGATCAGTTTTTGAATACTGAAAAATTTTACAGTCATATGCAGACAATAACCACTTCTGAATAAAGGCTGATAGTTTCGAAAGAAACTGTTTGGGGCTGTGTCATTGGGAGTAACGAAATAATTTGGATATATCAACAAAGTTGAAATG